CAAACAAGACGAAGATGAACTTCGAAATGTAACTGAGGAATCAATTGCATTGTCAACCCATGTTTTAACCAAAACAACTAACAAAAATTGAATTCCTCTTGAAATCCGGAACAAATAAACAGTCACTCAAAACCATAGTCGTATAAATAACTTGTCCTACTGCAAATGCAGACACAAGTTTCCATTTTCAAGCTTAAAATATCTATGTCCATTGCTGACAGGTATGCCATGTCTACTACAAAGAGTAACAAACATAATCAGTGATTCCTGAATCAATAATTCATTTACTGATCAGGCCTTGATGTGCCCATGTCTGGTTCTTTTCATCACCTCTGGGCAATTTTTCTTTCAGTGTCCCTTTAGTCTGCACTTGAAGAACTTGCCTTGCGGCTTCTTCATAGCAACTGGTTTGACAACTGATAGCCAAGTCATTTTGTTCTTATTACCACCCTTGGGTTTCCCTTTGGATTTAACAAGACTCTTAGCAAAACCTGCACCGACTGCATTCTGTCTAGCAGAGCTGCTAGACGCAGCAAACATGTCATTAAGAGTCTGAAGCTTTTTTACTCCACTCTTAATCATGTACACTTGCTTCTGCAAGTATTTGGAAAGACTGACAATAATATAGCAGCGAACTACCATATCTGCCCTTTCCCAATCTGAGAAATGCATCTTAGTTTCCTTAGACGCATTCTCTGCAGGTTGCTATGGCCCTCGCATTGTCAGGACAAATTTTAGCTTCCATGTTTTAGAACAATATCAAAGATTTTCTTTTCACTTATTCATAGTTGGTACCATCTAGAGGTTTTCGAGTCAAAATCATTTCTAAGATATTTTCTGAAAAACATATAAAGCACACAATTACAAACAAATAATGCAATAAACAAACGAAGTGCGAGTAGATTCTCATAACTACTCTTGTTTATTGTTAACAATCCTTCAGTTTATCTTTACAAGGCTTACGATGGGCAAGTCACTTGTAAAAACCAAAATTGTTATTTGGGCCTTCAGTGCCATTGCCAGAGCCTCGATGGGAGGGTTAACAATTTTACCAAAGTTGAATGTAATTAACCATTGTTTAATTTCAAAATTATCCACCGATGGCATTTCTTCCCTGGCCTACCATCCAAGGGCAAGGGAAGTCAATAGCAGTTGTAGTGTCTAAGCATTGCCGACAATGGGCCGTACAATACTTTACTAAAATTTTGAAATTATTAAGATTTAATCTAGTGAAATCTGATTATCCTTATCCGATGGGGCTTCAGCGATAACCATTTCACTAATAAACCCACAAATGGAGCCCGCAGGTTTTAAAATTAATTAATTTTTAAAACCTTCACCTATTCAACATTTTTGTTTGAGAATTTTCATAAGCCCAGTCGAATTCATTGTTTAATTTCAAAATTATCTTTAATAACTTAGTATTATCGACGATGGGTCGTACAATACTTTATTAAAATTTTGAAATTATTAAGGCCCAATAAAATCCAATCATGTTTATCCGTTGGGGCCTCAGATGATTATTTTATTGATAGGCCCACAATGCGCCTGGAGGTTAAATTAATTTCTTAATTTAAATCTCCTCCCATAGATATTTAAGTCCAATCTAATAAAATTCAATCATGCTTATTCGATGGGACTTCACATGATTATTTTATTAATGGTCCTATAATGCGCTTGAAGGTTAAATTAATCTCTTAATTTAAATCTCCTTCCATTCAACATAAGCAACATTTTCTAATTTCCAAGAATTATTTAATTGAGAGTATCCTTTGTTTGATTTCAAAAACTATATAAGTAAGAGCGCCGATAAACGTGCACTAAGCTTATCATAATTTTGAAAGCATTAAGGTCCTGAAATCCGGTCACTTTACGTCAGCGTGTGCTCCAAACAATCATGATACATGAATGTTGTATGCAGCGTGTGTTATTCCATGACCATTTCAGAAAACCCACAAATTACTCGCAAAATAAAAGAATTCTCTTAGGAAATTTTCTCTAATTATTTTTCTAGATTTAAATCATCCAAATAGCTGACTTAATTATTAATCTAGATTGCAACAATCATAATAATTATCATTTATGAGGATAATTTGAAATCAAAATAATTTCCATAACGATTATTTGTCTTGATGTTAATTATCCAAAATTAATTAATTCAATTATTAATCTAGATTTTTAAATAAAATCATAATAATTATTAATTAATTTCTTAGGATGATTTAAAATCAAAATAATCCCATAATAACTATCATACTAGTCGCTGAAGACATAATAGCTATTATGCTCATGCAATCATACAAGTTATGCAACAATATGGCACCACCTATTCTATATGGCATGTTATCGCAATAAAGCATGTTATCAATCATATAATTTATACCAATCAATAAAAGCATTAAATAATAAAATCTAATTACTTTAATCCATGACATTCCTATTTTAAAGAAAATAAAAAAAAATGTTACAACTTTGGAATTCAACTTTCGCCTAGCCCATAGTATCTGTCTCAAGCCTCTTTAGGGTTTCCATGGGCCCAAAAGCCCAAAGACCCAATCCTTTGGCGAGAAACCCTAGGACGCGAAAGAGGAACCCTAGCCGTCAGGTCTGCCGCGCCGTCACCCGAAGTCAAATCAGGCTGAAACTCCAGGGGAAGGACCGCCACGTAGAGACGAGTGCACCGCCGCCGGAATCACCCAAAAAGGTGGCCAGACGCTCCCTCACTCTCCCATTCTTTGCCGGAGAGTGGCGGCCACTCTCAGCCTCTTGTGGAGGCGCGTGGTGGAGCGTTGAGTCTCCGATGGCGGTGATCCACCCACCGTTGCGTTCGTATTCTCGTCCTCTTTCCAACCATATATAGATCGCCCCATTCCGAGATCGGCAAGTCCTCGAAAAGTCTCCGACAGTACTAACTGCGCATCTTACTCGCGGTTTCTCGATCTTGAACTTTTACAAAATATTGGAAAAATACACAGAAATTCCGAAAATAAATAAAAACAGCAAGGATGAAACCTAATCATATGGGATTAGCCTCCTTGTTACAAATCGAGAAATACACGAGAGACCATAACCATGGATTAAAGCATTTTTACCGATTAAAATTTAAACTTTTATGAAAATGAATTATAAAATACACATGCTAGATTCATACCATAATCCTAGAACCCTAGGTGCCACATTTCAAGAAGCAAAACTAATTACATGAATAGTGAAACTAGATTCACATACCAATGTACAGCCAAGGCTCTGATACCAATTGTAGGAAATCTTAGATTTATGCGGAAGCGATTTAGGACCTAGTACATTGGTATGCTTACCGAATCATCCTTGTTTCACAATTACCTCTCGGTGTGCAGGTCTCGTGTAGAATCTTCCCTTGTAGGATTCCTCTTCACGAACAACTCACCTCAGCGCCGCAGCACGAACAACCTCCTTGAAGCTGGACTGTGGCAGATCTTCCAAACTATCTCTCGAGGAGGAAGGGGAAGTGTGTGGGCACTGATTAGATTCTGAGCTTGCCTCTTTCTCACAAAAAAGACCTTTTTAAAGGCTGATGACTTAAGAGGTACTATTTATATGGGTTCCAAGAAACCCTAGCTCATTGGGCTCTAGGTTCCTTGGGCTCTTCTCATACTAATAACCCATTTGGGCTTTAGTAAAAGAGCAAACTCAACATTTTAAACACTAAAATAATGCATAAGACATTTTTGAACCAAAAATTACAATACAAAGTTTTAAAAATTTTATTTTTATGAAATACTCTGAACTATTAACTTAGTAACACTTATTATATAAAATAATAATAATTTAATTTTAATATAGGGCCAATGTAAAACTATTTAACATTTTCATCCAATCATATACTATCAAATCATTAAAAAAATTTGACTACATAATTATTACTTAAGAAGTTTAACTTTATTAATAATGTGCTAACATATTATTAAATGATAGTTTAGAAAATGATGCATTAATGATAATGTAATAAATTTAAGCTTAATGAAAATGTGTAGAATTAATTGTTTTGAATAAATTTTTATTGAATCGGGATCATCTCAATCATGATTCAGTCGATATCTTTCATTTTCATTTATATATATATATATATATATATATATATATATATATATATATATATATATATATATATATATATATTAGAGGGTTCTTTTGACTCCAGAGTAAGACTTAAAAGTCTTACTTCCCATCTCAAGCCGTTGATAGACGAAAATCAGTGGTTGTCATTTATAGTGTAATTAATAATTAATATAACTTCCTAAACTTTAGCCGTTGGATGTACGGAAATCAACGACTAGAATAGAGAGTAAGATTTATAAATCTTATCTGGAGTCAAATGATCTCTCTCCATATATATATATATATGGGACAGGATCCGTTTACAAACTTTTTTTGCAATTACACTAAGTAGGACCGATCGTACACTGTGTGATTAATGTAGGACCAGTCCTACTTAGTGTAGTTTGTAAACAAAAAAGTTTCTAAATAAAAAGTTTGTAAATATAACCTGCCCCTATATATATATATATATATATATATATATATATAGGGGAGAGATCATTTGACTCCATAGTAAAACTTATAAATCTTACTCTTCATCCTAGCCGTTGATTTCCGTCCATCCAACGGTTATAGTTTAAGAAATTAAATTAATTAATTAATTATTAATTACACCATAAATGACAACCGTTGATTTTCGTTCATCAACGGCTGAGATGGGGAGTAAGACTTAAAAGTCTTACTCTGGAGTCAAAAGAACCCTCCCCATGTATATATATATATATATATATATATATATATATATATATATATATATGAATGATGATATGGTATTTGCTCGATGATGCACTTTCACAAGTTTAGAAACAAAGTCCTACCTATTATATATTTCTTTCGATAAAAATGACTTCAAATAAATACATAAAACTAGCTGAAACACATACATGTTGATATACAACTCACAAGGTCAGCCTAAAACCTAACTATTGAGACCGGTGCCTTGAATTTAGTTGTTTTACGTTTACACCCATCCCATGCAGTTGCGTGGATCCTCCATTGGGCTGGTCCTACACGAAAGTGAATTTTAAGGAATCAGAAGCATGGAGAAAAAAAATATAAACTATATAAATCCAGAGTGTGACTCTACTACCACATTTCGGGATGTATCTAGAACATTAAAACAACTTGGGATTGCTTGTCTGAAATGCAATTGTGCCTACAAGCATGGGAAAAATTATCATCATAGTAATGTCTTGCAACCATCACAATGAAATACAACACGGATTATAATTTAAAATCCATCAAGTTTAGGATTCAATCAAGGCGTCTTTGAGATTAATCAGCCAAGAAAGAGTGAAATATCCTTGTACTTTCCTCCTTCTATGAAGAGACATACTAAAGGAGTGCCATAAGCATAAATGAAACCAAGAATCATTACCAGGTAATGTTACACATTTCAGAATCCTTCAACTATAGGAATTGAAAAGGTACTAAATTTTTTGAGATTAAAACGTTTGAATTTTTTTTTTTTTTTCCTCTCTTCTTTTATTTTCATTTTTGATAGAGTACAGAGGAGTCAGTTACAGGTAATCCACCTAGTCTGATAAAGCTAGGTTCTTGTCCACAGATCTTATCATTTACAAATTCCTCATTCCCCAATGATCATTAATGCCAAATTACAACCTATTAGCAATAGTTAAACATACTAGAATCCCATACCATCCCATGCATCCTTTGCGGGGCCATGTAATGGGCATCATGGGTGGAAGCAATTGAGTTCAAGTGTCCCTGCATCAAGACTCAACTCAAAATCAGATGTTAATCTAAATCTAAAACCCCTAAGTAAACAAAATAGAAAACACCAAAGACAAGCCAAAATACATTACCAGGCCTTGGGGGCCATGCTGGTTGCTATAATAATCATTACGAACAGCAGCTATCAAGTTCAATTGGCCCTTCAACAGAATTAAGGAGAGATAATTAATCTTTGAACAAGTAGAATACAGCTGGATATCTACTGTTAAATTGAATTTCATAATTCAAAATTGTAAGGACCTCTTACCAGTCCTGAATCAATTTGTGGATTAGCATAATAGCCATCCAGGTTCTGAGTTCTAGTGCTCAGCTGATCCTGTAACAGAGTTCGCAAAAAGGGCCCGAATTTCAGATTCATAAGACTCGAGACTTAAAAAATAGCAAAATCCACACACTATTTTATGCCACATACGGCATGCAGTAGCAATGGAAAAAGATGCCATACCATCTCTTGAATGCTGTGCTGTGATTCATATGAACAATCAAAGCCAGCTGCTCGTGTATTGGGGTCCTATAACAAATACAGACCATAAGATATTCATTCTTCTGTGATATAATATCACAATCAGTATATTCCTGACGAACCTAATAAGAACTTCAAACAAAAGCACCAACCATTTGCTGCCAGCTGGAATTGATTCCTATTGCAATGATCTCTGGTTCTGGGCATACCTACTAAGCATTTCTATATAAGAGAGGTACACAAAAGGATTTCTGAAGTTATGGAAACAAAGTCTGTAATATGAGCTTAATGACTGACATGGCAAAACTAACCTGTCTTTTCTTGAAAGTACTACTCTTTTTGCTTTTATGACCAGCATTGTTACCCGGAATCACTTCTTGAGAACCAAAAATTGGCGAGTTGGGTTCTATGACATTTTGAATTGAATCATTCAGGCTCTCACACTTTCTCAAAGCTTCTTCCAGTGCATTTACAGCAAAAATGTAACTCTCATGTGATAAAGACCCTTCATCACCTAGTTCAAAGGCTCGTGTACATAAATTATTATAGCGTTTAACCCTAGAGTGAACCACACTTGAAAGCTCTCTTGCTGTTTGTCTATTCTTGGCATCTTTTGTCCAACGTTTTAATATATACTGAGACGGGATGTTATGTATACCAGAAATTTGTAGCACAATCATTACATGCCTACAAAGAAAGCCATTGAATTCAAATGAATAGCAGGAACACGATGCATCAAACATTGATTCATTCCACACGACAATGAACTCTTGATTGTCTTCAAAATCTTGAACCCTAAACATTTTTGTTGGTCCATCTTCACTTTCTTTTCTTGGATGACAGGCAACAACTCCCAACACCTCAATCTGGAACTTCTTAAATATTGCATGTGTGTATAATTTTACCATTTGTTTCCCAAAAGGTGATGGGGATTTTAACGTAGGTTGTTTATGCAACGTTTCAAAATCTGCTTTTGCTTCCTCTTCACATTTATCTCTTAACATCACTTTGTATTGCTCTAAAAACTCTTTCAATGTAGTTTTCCTCTGTACATATTTGTCCAACAAACAGTTTATACTTTCTGATCGTTGCATAGTAGACATCCCTGCTAAAAATATGTCCCTCATATATGCCGGTATCCATCGTTCACGGTCCTCATAAATTGAGCATAACCAATTGTCATCACCTAAATTGAATCTCTCAACCATTTTCCACCATCTCTTCTCAAACTGTTCACTTGTCCCAGACCTGAGAACACACTTGTTAAATTTGATCATAAAGTTTGCATGTTGCAGTGATACATGCCCAAGCTTCTCCGGAATCTTACTCAGCACATGCCACAAACAATAACAATGACAAGAATCAGGAAGCACTTGAGCAACAGCTTCTTTCAGAGCATTGTCTTGGTCAGTAAGCATCACTTTTGGAGCAAGTCCACCCATTGCCCTGAACCACGCCTGCATCAGCCACATATACGTTGAGCTAGACTCATCAGACACCAAGGCTAACCCAAGCAACATGAACTGAAAGTGGTGGTTCACACCAATAAAAGCAATAAAGGGCAGCCTATATTCATTTTTCACATGCATGGTGTCGAAAAGAACCACATCACTGAAGTGCCTATAATCAAGCCTACCTTTAGCATCAACCCAGAAAACACTTCTCAATTGCTGCTCCTCATTAAAATCTATTGCGTAAAAGAAGTTAGGATTCTCATCTTGCATACACACAAAATAGTCAAGCAAAGCTTGAAGATCACCTTCATCAAAACCCAAATGCCTTCCATTGCTGCCTCTATCTTTTATATTCTCAACTTTCTTCCACCCACCAGATCTCCTAGACATTGTAGCAAACATCTTTCTGGTTCTTTCCCTAATAGCATGTATTGCATCAGAATTATTATTATTATTATTATTTCCTAGATAACACTCATGGTCAGGGAAAATTTCATGGTTATGATCCTTTATGAAACTAGAGACAATCCATTTACCATCTTGCCTTCTCTTGACATGCATGCAGGCCTTGCAATCTGTTTTGGCCCAAGACAAATTCACTCTACCCCTTTTCCTTTTCACAGGGAAGCTTGACATGTCTGCATTTGTTGAAATAGTTTCGGCTGCACTGGATTCTCGCTTGCTTCCATATCTGGTACATGCAAATTTGGCATCAATGAAATTTCCAGAAATTCTAGATCGACGACTGGCCTTAATTATTGCAGAAAATCCAACAGATTTGGCATATTCTTTGTAGTAAGAGAATGCTTCCTCCTTTGAATTAAACTCAGGCAAAGTAACACCATTCTCATTCTCAACATTTGCTTCATTACCGTGTTCGAGAGAAAGCTGCTCCAGGTCTATCCCCATCCACGAACATGTGAAAATTCAAAATTATAGTGCAGAATCGGAAACTACAATGTAAAATTAGAGGGATTTGAAACAATAAGCGAAGCTGAAAGAAAGTAACGAACAATCTTAAATTAAAAAAAGAAAAAGAAAAAGAAAAGTAACGAACAGAGAAAGAGAATGGGAACTTAGTAGGAACCTCCAAAACAGAGAGATCTTTGATTTGATAGAAAAGGTAAAGAGGTGTTTTCTTTTGTGTCACAAGATGCTCAATTTCACTCTGACTTTGAGTCTCTTTCTCGTTCCTTCAACTTCAACTTCAACACCACTTTCTCGTAGAATTCAGTACAAGCTGTACAACTGTACACCAACAACAGCAGCATCCACTTATTTTTTTTTTTTTTTTTTAATACAAATATTTTGCTGAAGTTATAAAAGATTTATTATTAATATTGTGAAATTAGTATTTGTTCTTTTAAATAATAAAAAATTGCATCATCTTAATCAAAATTATTGTATTTTACAGCAAATAAATAGAAATTATAGAAAAATGGACTGAGTGGTGGGAGAGGACATCGGTTCGAATCCTACCAACACCATCTAGGGAGGGACATAAAGGCCGTAATTCTTGGACTCGCACCCGAACTCTGAATTAGTTTCATAGACGGCTCAAAGAGTCGAATCCGTAGGAATACTAGGGAGTTCTGATTCGCCTCAAAGAGATAATTAAGATCAGTTTCCAAAAAAAGTAAGTGGGAGATTTTTTTTAAAATTTAAATATTAAATAAAAAGAAATTTAAATAAAATACTGTTCTTTAAAAGAATAAATATTTTTCTCTAATATTATTATTATTTTATTTGTCAGGATATTTTCGTACTTTTTAAAATGTGAAGTGTAAAGTAATATAATTGAGTATTTTTTTTTTTTTTTTTTAAGTGAAGCATCTAACTTGGTGTTAATACTTTTTTGTTTTAAAGAAACAAAATGTTTTTTTTAACTAATCCTAATTACCTCTTTGAGGCGAATCAGAACCCCCGGTATCTCTACAGGTTCGATTCTTTGAGTCGCCTGAGACTAATCCAGAGTTCGGGTGCGAGTCCAAGGATTACGGTATTTATGCCCCTCCCCAGATGATGTTGGTGGGATTCGAACCGAGGTCCTCTCCCACCACTCAATCCCCATGCTACCAAATGAGCCACACACTGGGTAAGAAACAAAATGTTAGTAATTTTTTTTTTTGGTATCCTCAAAATGTTAGTAATTAATTATGTAAAAAACCAGTTAAATGTTTACATTAACAGTTTATTTATAGGCTCAAAAGCTGAATAGACGATATTATTATAAATTAGAAAAAAATATTATAAAATATGGTAAAATCTGCAAATAAAAATCTTAAAATCGTAAAATTCCAATTCAAATTTTAAAATTAATTGCCTCAATCTACTTTAATAAATAGTTAAAGCTTAGAAGCATCCATTCATGGGAAAACTAAACTTTTTAATGTTACCCTGCATATTGCTTTTTTTATATATGTAATCGCGAAGAATCTTGCAATTCAAGTTTAGTTTTTTTCTCCTTGACCCTTATACTAGTCATTAATGATGGTGCAAGAAAAATTTGTAAGAGGGATTGAAGGAAGTAAAATTCATATTAATTTAGACAGAATAACACACTAATGAGTCAATTCAATAGATAGCCAGATTTGAAAAAAAAATTCAAATTTTGTTTACATATAAATAATAATAAGTTAGAAGATTGACTTGAGCGGAATGAACTTATACTATATTATTTTTCTCTTAAGTCTGAATCAGATCTAAAACAAAGTTGTGTCATTTAAAATTATAAATATTTTTTCTATAAAAGTTACATAAAATTGAGGAGTCGATGACCCACCCTAACCCTCTCCTTACTCCGCGATTGTTAGTCATCCTAAACTATATACCACATGTTATAGTGCTAATTGATGGGTCTAATCTACCGTCTAATGTCATCCTCAACTAAATACATGTGTGGCTGTTTAGCACCGTTTCTCTCCACACTTTGGCAGGTTAATGGTAATGTGTATTTGTAAGTACTAGTCAGTGTATTAGTATGGTTAAAAATGCATGCAATAGGAAGGTGCCTATGTATTTATAGGTTTATCAAATTGCTATTGTGAAGTGTGAGCCATACCGTAGCGCATTGGACAAAATTTATTGGGAAAGCTTTGCCTTAATACATACAATGGACATGCTTTATGAGTTGGCTACTGGCCTAATGAGTGGTCCAGAACACCACCCTTGCTACACTAAAGTTAAGTATATCCGCAAAGTTTAGTATTTCCTGTTAGTTACTCAAAATTGTTAGAGTTTTCACTTAAGCAAAGCCATCTGAATGGAGGACCAATAAGATTTACAGCAAAAATTTACTTTTTGTGATCCTCCCATACTTTAACACTTTCTATTTAATCAATAATTTCTCCATCACCAACTAGAGACCTCAGCATAAAAAGTAACTGATCATACTATACAAAGTTTTTTAATTAAAACCAAATAATGGTAGCTCAGTTGGCGCATAGGAGCTACTGAGCAGGTGAGGGTGTGTGTTCGATCCTCCCAGTACTATCTTTGGGAGGGATTTAAAACCTTAATCCTAGACCGGTCCCGAACAGGATTGCCTCCCGTGGAAAATACCTATAGTTTATCCACACAAAAAAAAAAAATTAAACAAATGTTTAGCATCTTTTCTCTTTAATACATTGTTGGAAAGCAAAAATGCGTTACCTTTGTACACTGTATGTTCAGAATGCTAAGTACATGAATAAGTCTAACTTTGTCGTAGTTTTAACAACTAATCGTGCATTAGGCCTTTCTTGGCATCTCTATGCTGTTGAATGACCAAAACTGAGCCATGAATATCAAAGTCCGAAGAAGCCAAGACATCACCAACTGTTCCAAGTTCTGGACACTCTTCCCAGTCACTCATACCAATTGTTAATGAACTCTGTCCTCTACCCCCCTTGCCTACTATAAACAAAGAGTACATGTCCCCTATCTCTTTCAAAGATTCCACTGTTTCTGCTCCATCCTTCACAAACTTTTCAACATATCCAATTTGGCCAGAAGTCACATACCTATTATAGAAATCAACCATAAAGGTATTGTCAATCTCATTAATGGTCTCTTCCCCAGACAAGGACATTAAAATTTCTTTATCCTCAGATTGTCCACTTTCAATTTGTTCATTCTGTGATGAAGAAGCAGTCAGCAAAAATCTGATGATTGTTAAGTTAATGCGAGGACTTTTGGAAATGCGTAGGCTCCAAGCAATAGCCTCACGATCATCTGGACCCCCAAAGAAGAGTGTTGCAACATTTTGTATGGCTTCAGATGCCACTAGTTGTGAGAAACCAGGGACCCTAGCAAGTCCTCTTTCTACAATGACACCAACAGAACAAGGGGCATGTCTAAGAACCTTCTGGTTAGTAATCCTTACACCTTCCTTCCCACTTTCCAATTTTCCATCAATTCTCTGATGCTTGTGGAAGGGAAGTAGAATAATGGATACTTGAAGATCTTCTGCTTCATTGCAAACATCTTCATACAAACTTGTGAAAGCAGACACTGCCCTTCTTTGGTGGACCAAAATCTTTGTCTCTGCAGTGAAGGCATCTAGAGCATTATTAATGTCCACCACATCATTGCCACCATAGTCATCATCGTCACTAAGGTCAGCATTCTCTTTTTCATGGTATAACAAGGTAGACTTAATCTTCTTTACAAGCTCTATCAGGTGTACTAAATAAGTGGTAGATGGTGATGCTCTAGAGCCATGTATTGCTAGCACTGCGGCAAGTATGGAAGATACTTGACGAGGATCATATACACAAGCCATGATTCTAAGCTCATCCTCCATTTTCTGCGGTTCAATTGCAGTATGGTTGTTTGCAAACATTTTCTCTTCTCCCCTTGCTAGAAAAGCCGCAATTATTCCTGATATTACTGTGTTCAATACTATTGATACTAACAATACATTGTAAGCATCTGAATCAAAAGTCTGTAAATCAACACAAGACAAAAAAAATAAAAATAAAAATTAGTATACGGATTTGAGATTCTAATTCTGATTAATTCAACCAAGTCAATAAATTAGTACACTCACAATTACTTGCTTTGCTGCTGCTCCAATAAATAGCAAATCAGCATAACCTCTAGTGTTCAATATAAAGCCAAGAAAAATTCCTTCACTTGTAGGAATTTGAAGGTAACGACAAACTATAAGAGTACCTCCAAGCTTGCTCCCAATGCCCAACAATATCAATATGGCTGTATTCGCAGTCCTATCCAAGCTCCCAAAGACATTTATTAGGTCACATTGTAAACCCAAGTACCCAAAGTATACTGGAAGAACAAAGTTGTAAATAGAATAACCAAGTTTATGCAGCAATGTTCTGGCTGTTTTGCCTTCCCTAGGAAACAGCAAGCCAATGACATAACAATGAAAAATACTGTTGTAACCCCAAATTTCTATAATCATTGAGCTAGTTATGAGCAGAAACAGGATGACTAACAACTCAGGAGCCTTGAGGTACTTCTGGTTTCTATGCCTTGAATTTAACCAAACAGCTAAGTACCTGTTTATAAGAACCATCAGGGAAGTATTTAGAAGGCAACCAATACTGGTTGAAATGTGATTTTCTCTTTTCCAATTAACCATCACATTAAAGAACAACAAGCATCCCATTTCTGTGATGCATGCAGAAGACACCGCGATTCGCCCAACATCTGATGCAGCAAACCTCAATTCTGCTGCCAAACGAATCACCATAGGGGAGCTTGTGTATGATAACACTAGCATAATGACCATACAAAAATAATACATGGGGGCAGTGGAATATAACTCTTGATACAAATAAAAGGAGACAGATATGCCAAAAACGCATCCCATTATAGCACCACCACATGCTACCAAGCCTACCACACGTAGATTTCGCAGTGTGTAGTGAATATTCATCTCTAACCCAAATAAGAACATGAAATGTATCCGACAGAAGAAGCTCACAATTTCATAGTAATTTATGGAACTTGCAGGAAAGAATGTAACTTGTATATACTCAATATGAGACATTGGACCCAGTACCAACCCAGCCTGTTCAACATTGCACCAAGAATTAACAATGAAACTTCAATTCAATACAAGTAATTTATACCCCAAAAAAAAAAATATTAACAAAAATAAGGTGATTGATTATATATGATTAATTACCAGAAGTTGTGAAATGGGTCCAGGTTGACCCACAGTCCTAAGAACAACGTTGAAGAAGTGTGATACAACAAGAATGCAGGACACTTGCAAGCCCATTGAACATAGAGGGTTAACCAGCTGATCAAGCTGATCTTTGTCACATAACATGGTGTTAGTGGCATCCATTGTGCTTCCTGAATTTGTCAAAACTCGAATTTTTTGATTAATCAAATGTTAGAAGAAGCAATTGATTTGAGTTTCTAAAGGTCTAACAATTGTTTTGCTTCTAGGGATGATGAAGTCCTCGTTTCAGATCCTATATTATTGGTGGAAGACTCGTAACAAGAACATAAGGCCCTTTTAATCTTACTTTAGCTAATGGTAACAATTAATTATTACCTTTTACATTATTCAAAATAGGTCATTTACATTATATGAATAAATTATTTATAACCGCAACCAATAATATAACTTGTAATACATACACACAACAAAATAAATGAAAAAATATTCGTAATTTTAGCTTGATCCTAGAAGCATTCCTCAACTAACTTCAAATTTAAGAAAATTAAGATGTTCAGAAAATTAAAACCATGCGCATTCTTTCAAGTATATATATATATATATATATATATATATATATATATATATATATATATATATATATATATATATATATATATATATATATATATATATATATCATAATTATCTCTTTGAGACGAGTAGACTTCCACCGAATATCTTCACAAGCTTCAATTCTTTAAATCAACTAAGATATTAATACCAAGTGCGGGGTGAATCCGAAATTAAGATTTTATATTCTTTTCAAATGTGATATTGATAGTTCTTTCAAGTAGTTTCATTTTTAATACGCTATGTCCAAATAAAGTTTTTAATACATATTGAAACAAATTACATCGTTTTCTTTCAAACCTCATCCACAAGTTCTTTACGCTAACTAACTTCACCCGGTGATTTCTAACCCGAGTTTTGGAGTTCCTACACCTAGTTAAGGTTATCTTAGAAAACTTTTGTTTGGATTATGACTTGTAAAATTAATTTCGGATAACCGTAATTTTATAAAATTAATTTCAGTTAAAAGTGAGTTAACAGAAAAGTTGCTTGTGTTTTCAAAATTTTATATCAAAAATAATTTTATCATAATGACTGTTGTTTGAATAATATTAATTAAACTCATTTTCTTATATATATTCATCGTAAGCGTATAAATTTTAATGATTTTGTCCATATTATGTTTTTATAGTATACTTTGACAAGTGAAATAATATTTATTTCAGTAAAGTATTTTTGAGTCTTTAACATATATCACGAAACCATTTTAATCTCTTAAAAGAAGTCGATTTGTGTTCCTTCTAAAATTTAAAATAAATTCATGTTAGTCTTTTTGAAAAACTAACTGAGTCTTCTTTGAATTTTAGAAGGATCATAATTTCGACTAACTAGGTCTATTTTGAATTTATAGAGACCACAGGTCAACATTTTTTTTTCTTTTAAAGGATTAAAATAGGCCTCATGATTTTTGTTAAGGACTCAAAAGATACTTTACTCTATTTATTTTAAGAGGAAGGTTATACTTACAACCTATTTTCATTTACAACTTCTTATTACCATATCTTAACCGTTGATTTCCGTTATTTTACCGTTATTATTTTCGCAAATCAAACTCATTAATTAATTATTATTCGCAATAAATGATAACTGTTGGTTGACGAAAATCAACGGTTAAAATATGGTTGTAAAAAATTGTAAGTATAACTTCCTCTTATTTTAATGCAAAATTGGTAAATTAAAACTAAAAATATAGGCTTCATTTTAAAAATAATGGTCCCGTTAAAAAATTTACAATTGAAATGAAGTTTTACTTTTTTCTAATAAATATATCTAGATTTCCCACTAATAGAGCTTTTTTTCAGTAGTGTTACAGGAGTACATACATCCCTTTTAAAGGGGGTAAAAATTTGGGACTGAGAGGAAAATAAAAATAAAAGTATGAATTTAAATGGGATAAATTTTTCTTATTTAGAAAAAAGGAGTACTACTTAGGTACTTTCGCAGTACCAAAAGAAAATCCCACTAATGGATATATTTAAAAAGAAAATAATTCTGCACCCAAAAAACTGAGGTAAAAAAGATTGTAAAATAGGATTAAAAAAAGAGAGAAGAAGATTGCAAAATTGTTGACTATGAGTGCAATTTTTAAAATTGTTATTGGTGGTAGTGTAAAACTCTGAGTTGTTGGTTATGACAATATCAGTGGAAACACAAAATTGCATAGAATAAAATGCAATTACAGAAAAATCATAATGCAAAATTCAAGACATAAAAGTTGCAGAAAAAGGTCGTATATAAGCGTTAATCTTGGTAAAGTTTTAGTAAGGAGTCATAAAACTTAATTCTTGGAATTCACTAACCACGGGTGTATATATAAGAGATGAATAATTACAGGAGAAGAGACACTTCGAAAACAAAAAGACGTGATTGTTTGCAGACGCGACTATTCGCAAACGAAAAGACACGACTCTTCGAACTTCTTATTTATAACTCATTTATACAACAATCTCCCACGTAAATACTTATTTGATTATAAAATAGGGTAAATGATGCAATGGGCTGGGCTATATAGAACAGTTTCGAATATTTTATTTACAATAATGTTGGCCATGGATGACCAATGTAAACCCTAAGTATTCAAATTTGTATGACCTAAATAAGGAACATGGAGAATTTCAAATCAATTGCTTTTCCCTTTACTCTCTCCCTCTATCTCTCTTTTTCTCTCCATGTTACAATAACTTTGCTAAAATATCACATCAGAGGCACCATGACCTTACACATTCCCTCTTGCTCTCAGCCTAGGATTGAGATATCACCTACTGTGACTTTCTATAGAACTTCGGTTCATACCACTGCACCTTTAATTATTGTTATATTGGGATACTATACCCTATCGAGAGAAACAATCTTAATCTTACCTCCTAAATAGTTCACCCTTTTATATAAGAGTCCTAACTACACGTGATTTCACTTATGCAAAGATATCTCAAAGCAGGACAAATAAGATTTACAGCAAAGTTATAATTAACGTTTCCTATTTATTCCATAATTTCTCCATCACCAACTAGACAACTCAAACTAAAAATAACTGATCATAATATATACAGTTTTAAAAATATATTTAGCTTCTTTTTTCTCTAATTCATTGTTGATATACAAAAAGTTGTTCAGTCTGTACACTGTATGTTCATAATGCTTAGTATATAAATAAGTCTAACGTTGTTGTACATTAACAACTAATCGTGCATTAAGCCTTTTCTATGCTGTTGAATGACCAAAACTGAGCCATGAATATCTAAATCTGAAGAAGCCAAGACATCACCAACTGTTCCAAGTTCTGGACACTCCTCCCAGTCACTCATACCAATTGTTAATGAACCCTGTCCTCTGCTACCCTTTCCTACTATAAACAAAGAGTATATGTCCCCCATTTCTTTCAAAGATTCCACAGTTTCAGCTCCATCCTTCACAAACTTTTCCACATATGAAATTTCACCAGGAGCCACATACCTATTACAGAAATCAACCATAAAGGTATTGTCAATCTCATTAGTAGTCGCTTCCCCAGACAAGGACATTAAAATTTCTCTTTCCTCAGATTGTCCACTTTCAATCTTTTCATTCTGTGATGAAGAAGAAACCAGTAGAAATCTGATGATTGTAAGGTTAATGCGAGGACTTTTGGAAATGCGTAGGCTCCAAGCAACCGCCTCGCGATCATCTGGCCCTCCAAAGAAAAGTGTTGCAACATTTTGTATGTTTTCAGATGCCACTAGTTGTGAGAAACCAGGGTCACTAGCAAGTCCTCTTTCTACAATGACACCAACAGAACAAGGGGCATGTCTAAGAACCTTTTGGTTAGTAATCCTTAAACCTTCCTTCCCACTTTCCAATTTTCCATCAATTCTCTGATGCTTGTGGAAGGGAAGTAGAATAATGGATACTTGAAGATCTTCTGCTTCATTGCAAACATCTTCATACAAACTTGTGAAAGCAGATACAGTCCTTCTTTGGTGGACCAAAATCTTTGTCTCTGCTGTGAAGGCATCTAAAGCATTATTAATTTCCACCACATCATTGCCACCATAGTCATCATCATCACTAAGATCTGCATTTTCTTTTTCATGGTATAACAAAGTAGACTTGATCTTCTTTACAAGCTCTATTAGGTGTAGTAAATGAGTAGTATATGGTGATGCTCTAGAACCATGTATTGCTAGTACTGTGGAGAGTACCACAGATACTTGACGAGGATCATATACACAAGCCAACATTCTAAGCTCATCATCCATTTGCTGTGGTTCAATTGCAGTATGGTTGTTTGCAAACATTTTCTCTTCCCCTCTTGTTAGAAAAGCCGCAATTATTCCTGATATTATTGTGTTAAGTACTATGGATAATAACAACACATTGTAAGCATCTGAATTAAAAGTCTGTAAATCAACACAAGAGCCAAAATATTAGTATATGGATTTGAGATTCTGATTCTGATTAATTCAATCAAGTCAATAAATTAATATACTCACAATAACTTGCTTTGCTGCTGCTCCAATAAATAGCAGATCAGCATAACCTCTAGTGTTCAATATGATGCCAAGAAAAATTCCTTCACTTGTAGGAATTTGAAGGTAACGACAAACTATAAGAGTACCACCAAGCTTGCTCCCAATGCCCAACAAAATCAATATGGCTGTATTCGCAGTCCTATCCAAGCTCCCAAAGACATTTATTAGGTCACATTGTAAACCCAAGGACCCAAAGTATATTGGAAGCACAAAGTTGTAAATAGAATAACCAAGTTTATGCAGCAATGTTCTAGCTGTTTTGCCTTGCCTAGGAAACAACAAGCCAATGATATAACAATGAATAATACTGTTGTAACCCCAAATTTCTATAATCATTGAGCTTGTTAGAAGCAGAAACAGGATGAATAACAGCTCAGGAGCCTTAAGGTACTTCTGGTTTCGATTTCTTGTGTTTAACCAAACGGCCAAATACTTATTTATAAGAACCAGCAGGGTAGTAAGTAGAGTGCAACCTATACCGGCAGAAATGTGATATTCTTTTTTCCAGTTAATCATCACATTAAAGAACAACAAGCACCCCAA